GCCCCAGTGGCCCCTGAGGAGAACGAGAGGGCAAGCGAGCGCGGCGCTCCCGGGCCGGCCCGGCCCCCTCCCCTCACCATCGCCGGACCTCCGCCGCCTTCCTCCGCTTCCACCTTTTCTCCCCCCCCCCAAGTTGAGGCCCCCTCCGGGGGGGGGAGGCCCGGGACCGGGAACGAATTTCCCTAACTCCCTCAACCCCTCCCCCCATCTGGCCCGAGTGTGGGGAGAAGGCCCGGCCTGTGTCGTGTGTGAAGAGGACGTGGTCCGGCCCACGGGCCGTCTGGGGCCTGGTCCGGCCCGCCGGGTGTGTAAAGACAGGGGCCCGGTGCGGCCCGGTCCGCGGGCGCGCGGAGGGGGGGGGTGTGGGCCTGCCGGTGCGTGAGGACTGGGGCCCCGGCCGGCGCTGCAGCCGCCGCCGCCGCCGCGATGGCCCAGCAGCAGATGACCAGCTCTCAGAAGGCCCTGATGCTGGAGCTGAAATCCCTGCAGGAGGAACCGGTGGAGGGCTTCCGGATCACCCTGGTGGATGAGTCCGACCTCTACAACTGGGAGGTTGCCATCTTCGGACCCCCCAACACCCTCTACGAAGGCGGCTACTTCAAGGTATTCCCCCCACCCCCACACTAGGCTCCCCTGGCGGAGGCCTTTGCTCCCCGACGCGCTCGGCTGTTTTCGGGGCCAAGAGTGTGAGCGCGGGTTAGCGGAGGGGCCTCCTCACCTCGGTAGCCCCCTTCCCCCACCCGGGGAGGCAGGAAGGCCTTGCTCACCGAGTGCCTTTTCTTTGTCATAGGGGCGGGGGCGGGAGGCCAGACTGCACCGGGAAATAGGAAAGCCTCTCTGGCTAGGGTAGTGGCGACCAGGGGTGGAGGGTGGCTGTCTTTGTTTTGTTTCTTCAGCTGAAGGTGTATGGGAAGAAAGGTGGTCTGTCTGTCCCCTCTCGTTCTCCCATCAGAACCATCCCTGCGCAGGCTGGAACTGCCCCAGAGGGCAGAGTGACCTGCACTTATTGGATTGGACCTTTCTTTTTTGGGGGGTGGGGGAGGGGTGTTAGCCTGTCATTCCATTCCATAGGCTGCCTGGTGACCTGACATTTTGAGGATTTGATGGGTTTCTGGCGGAGTAGTAGTTCCAACTTTGCGTTTCAGTGGCGGTAATAAAGAATAGGAACCTAGGGGCGGTAAACAAGGATACCTGCATTTTCTAGCCTTTTCCATTTGAGGGAACTTTTAAGCCCTCTTTCTGGCCTCATTCTCTGTCTACTTCTGTGGTGTTTCAGAATGCCCTTTGTCCTCACCCTGCCACCAACTTTACTGGCTTTGTTGTTGTTGCTGCTGCTGTTTATGTAGAAATAGCCAGAGGGTGGAACTTGTTATGTAGAGAGATTGATAGTTTCCCACTTTAGTGAGACGAAATTGAAACCCTTTGCTCAGGTGGCTAACTCTAGCAAATGGAGTGGTCTCACAGATTAAAAGTATCATTTGAGGTGAAGTGGTTTCACTGAGTAGGACGGCTCCGTAGACAGGGACCATAGATAGTGTTTCCATTGTTTCCCATGACTTTAGAATAGTGGTTATTTTTCAGTCTGGTGAGTTTTTTTAATCCTATGGTAGAATAACTTGGAGATATTAAGGTTTTTTTTTATTTTCTGTTTTATCTTTTACCATTTTTGAAGGGACAAATCACACATTGATGGTTGAATGTTTTAAATGGTGCAGAGACAGAGAATTGAGTGCTTAGGAATCCATTTAATTTTTGTATTTCCAAAGTTAAGTCAAATAGAACAGTGAGTAGTTTGTTTTGAAGGGAGGGGCTATCTTGGCAAAAGGTTTAAATGAGTATCTTAAGTCATGGAGTTACGATGTTTATTTTTAGGACTACCCAGTTTTTGTTTTCTATCTTACTAAAGGTAGAGAAGCCTGTTTCAGGCTTGGAATTGGGTCAAGTTTGTAGATAATGTGAAGAATTGATAGGAGAATGCCTCATTTTTTTGTGGACTCCATGCGCAGTACTTTTCAGATGCAGATATTTAAAATCATTAAGTAAACATACAAGTTACTTAGTTTAGGAACCTTCTCTTGTCAATTATAAATATTTTTAAATATCGGAAAATTAATTGCACAAAATGGAATTTATGTTATAACTTCTAGCAAAGCATTATTGAGCAAAATTTACTGGCTAAATTTAGTGGAGTAAAGTTTAATTTCCAGAATGATGTTTGGAACAATTGATAGTCAAGATAAATGGATACTAGTTAGAATATTATCACTCCAGTGGAGTTTGTTAAAAAACTGTGTTTTCGGTTTGTTATTATTTTTGCTTAAGTAACTGTGAAAGGAGTGTGGATGACCTCAGTTTGGAATAGGTAATATGTAAAGAGGATTCCCTGCAGCGTACACTCATTTACATTGTGCTTATTAATTTCAGTCCTATTTAAAAGAATGGTTTAATTGCCAGTTTTGTTGTGTTGTTTCTTTTGAGTGTTTTTACCTTTAATTGTGACATTTAAAATATATGAAAGTTCTGATTTTATATTTTAGTCTTGTGTGTGTGAGACTATTCAATTTCATTTTCCCCTTATTATTTGGCCTTTTATCTCAAAATCCTTAATTGGAAACAGGCAAATTTATGGTCTTGAGCAGTTAACACTGGTGATAGATTTAAAACCATTGTTTTTTATTTCAGTGCTTTTGTCTTAAAACAAGGCTTTTAGTGTGTCCTGCTACAGCTGCAGTTAAAAGTTGGCACAACTTTTTACCACTGTTTTCCGTTATCAAGTCGTAGTCCTTCAGTGTTTAGTATAATTTATTTTCTAGTTAAACTCTTCTCTATTTTGCATAATAGAGAAGAAGGCAGTGCAACTTTCTAAAATTTTTCATACTGTAACTTTTTAAACTTTTACCTATTAATAAATAGGCTTCTAATTGATCCTTTTACCATGAAATAGTTGGCTTCAGTCTGGTTCAACTGTGACGTCTGTTATAGAGACTTGTGAGACCTATATATTTCAAATTTTCTGATTCATCTTGCTTTTGTTTCTTAAAAAATACCTTGAATCCATGTGATTCTTAGCTTTGGAGAGTATTATGTGTGTATAATGGGAAAAGATAGTTTCTTGTGTTTATTTTTTTGCTTATTGTAAAATCTTTTTGTGGCCTTGCTTTTTATCCAGTTTCTTGATCTCATTGACATACCAAGTGAATTTCTTTGCTGCTCTGAATTTTTGTTCTAAGGGTCAATCATTACAAAACAAAAAGTAGGAGACGGCTTAGAATAGGGGTCCCCAGTTCCTGGGCTGCAAACCAGTACTGGTCCGTGGCCTGTTAGGAACCTGACTGCAGTGCAGGAGGCTAGTGAGCTAAGAAGCTTCATCTGTATTTGCAGCTGCTCCCCAGAGCTAGCATCACCGCTTCAGCTCCTCCTCAGATCATCAGGGTTTAGATTCTCATAGGAGCACCAGTCTCTGGTTCCAAAAAGGTTGGGGATAGCTGTCTTAGAAAACCAAGAACATTAAAACTGTGGAGTAGGTTGGAATTTTATAATGGTATGGGAGGAATGAATTATTGATCGAGTCAGCAGCTCATAATGACTTTTAACAAGTTCACCTCCATTCTTTTAAAAAGAACTGTCTTTTCACATAACTCTTGGTAATGATCTTAATGTAGCTGCTTTGATATAGAACCTCCTTGCAACTCCTGCATTAATTATCTAAAAGCATGATAGTGAGTCTAGAGATCAGAAAGTGAGAGTGGCTCTTTTATGATGTGCATAACATAAAAATTTAAATGAGACAGAAAGCTTAAGTATAGCAGTTACCTTTTTGTAGTTTTGATTTCATTCAATAATCTGAGGGAATAAAATATTAAGTATGTTCCATTTTTAGAAACTCCAAACTGATTATTTTATTTTATTTTATTTTTATTTTTTTAGGCGAGGCAACCCTTGGTTGACCTTGCAGATTGCAAGGACCTTGTCAGCTTGCAATCCCTTATTTTTTTTATTTTTTACTCTTATAGCACCTGGTCTTCCTAGGTGGTTTCCCATTCAAGTACTAACCAGGCCTGACCCTGCTTAGCTACCAGGATCAGACGGGATCGAGCTTGTTCAGGGTAGCATGGACATAGACCAAACTGATTATTTAGAAAGTATTTGTTACACATGCAGTTTTCCTTGGTAGGAGCTTCTTTATCAGATTTAACACTTTGGTTTATGTTAAAGAAACTCTTTAATAATAGTCTTTAAAAATAAAGAATATGTATATTATTTTCATTTGTTTTAGAAATAATGAATTTTCTCTCTCCCCGCCCCTCCCTCCAAAAAACCCCACAAAACTTTTGTGGAGGGCAGTGTCCTTCATATTATAGTGTACTTTATTTTATGACTGTAATTCTTAATATGTAGTTTGAAGGATTGTTTTAAGAAAGTGATTCTTAGTCTTTTTGCTGTATCGATCTTTTTGAGAAATTAATGATTTTTCTCTGGAAAAAAATAGACACATAAACTAGTTAGTATATATTTTCTGAGAGTTAACTGACAAGTTTAGACTTCCTGTTTTATGGGATTTGATAGGCAACTAAAAACAACAACTCTAAAATTATAAGTGTAATGCTATTTTTTAAAAACAATTGTATGATGAATCAGTCAGTTAGAAATTTATTTTTTAATTTTTCCTCTTTTACTTTGAGAATACCTCTTAGAGCTTTTAGCTGTAATCTTTTCCGGAAGCTGAAGTTGCCTTGAGTGCTGGGTGAACTAAGGCAACATTGTAAATGGAAACATAGTTAATGTCTAGTGGTTTGGGGCACTAAAAGTAGTTTTAGTGTCCCCTTACCCGGAAAATATAGCACCTCAGTATTTTATAGAATATGCTTTTACCATATGGATTTCAAGAAGCATATTTATCTAGTTTTTAACTTCTCTGAAATTGAGCTGTGTCTTAGAATCTACGAAGTTTTATAGTTGCCCCTAGTGCAGATATTCGGTATGCATGAAACTTCCTTATTCTGGAAACAGGTGCCTGAAAAGACTTTCACCAGTGTCAGTTGTAAGACTTAATGGATTCTAATTGTGAGAGAACATTTAAATCCAATGTATTTTTTTTCAATGCCAGCATCAGTGTCTTAAATTTGATAAAATAAGGATTATTTCTTCTTGAACAAAGGATTTGGGCCTTAATATTTTCTTTGCAGCATGTTGATTTCTTTTTTCAGAGATTTATGTTAGCAAACTATTTATTGAGCACTCATCAAAGGCAAAGCACTGTAGGAAAAGTCACTACATTATAGATAGTAAGGGAAAGTATAAGGACATAGATAACCTTAGAGCTTTTATGAATGATCTCATAAAATTCTTTGTGTAGACTTTAAAATATGGAAATGTGAGGTGTAGGTATTATTGATGCAATTGTAAATGGTAATTAAAATCAAAGCTATTAAATTTAAGCCCAGTTAGAACATTTGTCAACATAATCTATTAAGATAAAATATTCTGTTCCATTTTTGCAATATAGTATTAGTGGTCTTAGTCTGTTTGAGACAGGTGAAAGACCATCGAAGAAACGTCCACCTCTGCTCATCTTGTTATGGGAAAGTAACAGTGAGGAAGAG